TCTTTAGTTTCCAATCCTATGGATCTTCAATCCTCAAGTCCCTAGCTCAATACCTGCACAAAAAATGAGGTGTATTAAGGTATTGTTAGCTAAATTTGGGTTAGTTATATCTGCACACAAAATGAACCAAAAAGAGAACAATTATATTGCAATGGTTCAGAGGATGAGTGGAATTCGTTCAATAAGTCTCATCCAAAAAGAGGTAAAATTGAGACTTAACACACATAACTTCCCAATGTCCCAAAAAGAAAACCATGATCATTAGGGGCAATGAAATCCTAACTGAGGAAAACACTTCATCTTCTTCATCATCCTCAAGTGAAGAAGATGCAAGCCTTAGTTCTAGTGAGGAAGCACCATGTGGTGGTGACCTATTGGTTGTCCAAAGGTTACTTACCAACCAACCTAATGAACAAGAAAACCATACACCATCCTTCACCCTTCATCATCTTGAAGTCCCAAAACCATCTTCCCCTAAACATCCACATAACCTCTTCCCTTTGGTGAGCCTAAGATCTTTAGGCAAGGATTCCCTCTTCAAGAGTCAAAATCATCCATGGAAGGGAGAATCCTATCACTTATATTTCAGCTACCTCAAGCAAAAATACATCCACGTCAACCAAAGAGGAACTTAATCATGCAAATGCCGATGTTCACACCAACAAGCTACTTCGTTGATTGTTCACACCAACCTATAAAACCCTTGAAATGTGACTAGGTATATTCATATCCTTTTTTACCTTAGTGTTACCATGTGAAACCATATATTGACTTGGGTGTGAAGTGTTTACATCTAGGGATGGCAAATATACCCGTACCCGCAGGTAATACGCGAACCCGTCCCGACTTTGACATGGAATACCCGGTTTGACCGGGTACGGGTAATTAAAACCCGATATATTAAATCGGGTACGGGTACGGGTATGTACTTACCCGCCCTGTACCCGTACCCGTCCCCGTTCTCATTTTTAATTTAATATTCACTTTAAATTTAATTATATTAAAAAATTTTAATATTTTTTATGTGTGATTATTTATTATAATATGAGATAAAGAAATAATTTAATTATAATTATAATTATAATATAATAAAAAAAATAATTTAAAAATATCATTTTTTTTAAATAAAAAAAAAAATTGACGGATACGGGTAAGAAAAATGACGGATACGGGTACGGGTACGGGTATACCCGATACCCGACGGGGACGGGGATGAGGATGAAAATCTATACCCGACGGGTATGGGAACGGGGATGGGGATGAGTTTAACTTGCGGGGACGGAGACTGGTATCTTAAAACCCATACCCGCCCCGCCCCGTTGCCATCCCCATTTACATCTGGATGCTACCTTTTTACTCCAACCTTGACATACTACTCTGATATTTTGATAGTTGACTCTTCCAGCCCTTTGAAGAACAAGAACATTAACAACACTCCCACCACCATGACTACCACCAACAATAACAACATCAATAATAAATTATTATTATTATTATTATTATTATTATTATTATATTTCAATGTGTATAATATTAATTAGATATTATCATAACTAAATTATTTTTTATTTTGTCCCTTAATAATATCATGCGAATCTGCAAGTGATTCGGGAGACAAGATGGCATTGATCATCTAATTAATAAGCAGATTTCTTTGTGAATAGAGATAAAATATTGCCTAATTAATGAGATTCTCTTGTGAATTAGAGAAAGGTAGAATATTTGATAATTTGATCCACAATACCCAAAGATCTTAGGCGATGATTAGGAGAATGCAATCTGCTAGCTGTTAAGGGGCCACAGCCTAGGATCTTAGACTCCAAGGCCCATTACAGGCGAGCCGGAGATGATTGCTTAGCCTGGCTGGACGTACACGGTACAAAGTCCATGTGTACGGAGCAGTACATGTCAAAAAGATGTCACATTTTTAAATTAATTTTAGTACATTATATTATAGAACTAGTCTTAAATTTTTTTGATAAAAAATACCCCATGTCTTAAAAAGCACAAAAGACATGACACTGTGGGCATTATTGTCAATGAAGAAAAAGTTAAAAGGTTCAAATCTTCATAAATGATAACAGCGTTTATACAAGACACGAGATTACTGGCACAAACTACTTACAATCCAAAGCTACAAAAAAATAAAATTTCATGTAAATAATATGCATTAAAAAAAATTACTACCACACTCGTAAAAGTTATAATCAAAATTTCTGGGTACAAGGCTAAGAAGCGACTCCTGGGGAATGCCTTACATATTTTGCCTCAGCCAAACATAATTGTAGCTATTCTTAGCCTGACACTTTATTTCTTGAAAGTAAGAAAACTTGAAAAATGTCCCCTAATTGTTTCTTTTAAGTCCATAAAAATAATCACTAAGTAATCTTTAAATATATATTAATATTAGATTTAAATATATTTTTAATTTTTTAAATTTAAGTTAAATTTATTTTTAATACCTTAAATTTAAAATCAGATATTTTAGTCATGTAATTTCAAAATATCTTGATTTATCTTTATATTTAAATTTTGTTAAAGAATCTGTCAAATATTATTATATAAAACTTACTTACTAATATTCTTATTAATGAAAATACCACATCAAACCCAATTAATAATGCATAATTGTTATAGGTAACCAGGGGGATAAATAATTTTTAAAAATTACAAGAACTAAAAACAATTTTAAATATGAAGGTCAAAAATAAATTTATCCTAAATTTGAGACTAAAATTTTATTTAAACCTTAATAGTATCATTTAAGTTGCATTTTTTTTTAATTTCATGCTAAGTAACCTTAAACACTTTTAAGGACTTTTTATTATATATACTTTCAATGACTAAAGTATCAATAACATAACATACACAACTTCGAGGATCCAAATGCTATTTTACCCATTATATTTATGATTCTACTCTACATGTACTTGTTCTCCAAGAATGACCCGAAAAGAATAAGTGCTTGGCGAGGTTTATGAAGTGGAACCTCATGCCCTGCCCCTCTTACTGTAACCAATATAAGCCCCTTATACACTTGACTCCAGCCACCAACCTTCAGAGAAAAAAAGATTCTCAGCATATAGATCATAATATATAGGATTACAGAAAAATAAGAAACAAATAATTTAATTGGTGTCATTCTCAAAGGTAGCACCAACCTCGCCATAATCATACCACGGGTACCAGTTGATGATGGTGGGTAGGTTCAGGGCATCAATTGAGTACCGAGTCGCGGTTAAAGGAACCACTGAATCAGTGTCTCCACTGCACACATGAATAACTCACAACCATGATGAGCAATTGGAGAAAAATAATATAAATTCAACCAAAAATATAAAAATAGCTTCGGTAGGAGATTCCATGAAAACCAGAAATATGAACAAAATAATATTTCCTCTGAATTTTGAGAGCATTGTCATATTGGTCTTTAAGACTAAGAAATTGTCAAATAAGTTCTTATAATGTAAAATAAGTCCTTAAATTGAACATCTTACTATCATCTTATTCCCCGAATATGTATCAATGTTATCACTTTAGTTTCATGATATTTTGAATTTTGGACTAATGTGATTATCAATTTTCACTTTCAAGAACATTTTATAATTTATTAATTTCATAGATTAATATGACAACGTGTTCCAAATTCAGGAATTAAGTTGGGTATTTACTCTTTATCAGTATTGGGAATACGCCTAAATATATTTAATTTAAAAAAGAAAGGATAAACTAGTTTTGGTAGGAATCAAATATTTATGTTTCAATTTAGATTAAAATTAACTCATTCACAAAGCATACACATGCAAAATAAGCTAATCAAAACAATATAACTCATAAGAACTTATAAACTACTCCTATTACACATTATGATATTCATATCTTCTTCTTGACTTAGTTTGTGTCCTTGGTCAGCTTCAATAATTCACTCAAAAATGCATACCAATGCACAAAATAAACCAATATGGCAACATCATAATTCAAACCAGAGTAACCAAACACAATATAACCACAATTAAATTCATATTGCACTAGAATTAAAATTGTTCAAACCAAGATAAAACCAAATTCAAATGTTCAGAATTAAAATCATTACAACCAAATTGAAATTTTGAACTAGAAGTTTTAAAACTAAAATTAGAACTTCTAAAACTCCTAAACGCATCACTCCGAATCATCTTGCATTCCAAGTTGAGCCTTAATCCTTGCAATCTCATGATCAAGGTTATCAAACCGATCAAGAATACCAGAATAATATGACTCATGCTTCCTTGACATTTCCATCACAACATCAAGCTTGTTGATCATAATCTGTTCAAATGGAGAAAACGCTTTCGGTTTCGATTCTTGCTCTTGCACTGGTTCATGCTCCACATGTGGTGGCAATTCCTCATCATGAGATGGAACTTCATCTTCGTCCGTTGTCGGTTCTGGTGTTGGAGGAACATCACCTTTGAACACCCATTTATCTTCTTGCTTTAGCATCCCGATATGATGCAAAGAAGATTTTTCAATCTTGTTTGAAGCATGGAGAATTCTCTTTTTCTCCCCTTGAAGATCCACACCAGCTTTCTCAAAAATTCTAGATAGCAATAAAGCATAGGATATTGGACCATCCTCCTTTCTCCTAGCCTTCCAGATACAATCATTCACAACAGACACCCAATCTATTTTACCTTTTTCTTAATGACATGCATAAGCAAAATATCATCTCTAGGCATTTGAGCATGGTTATGAAGCCTAGGTTTAAGCATCCAAGCTATTATAAAAGAAATCAACTTAGAGTTTTTCTTAATATCTCCAGCCAAAAATTTGTTGTAATTTGTGGTCTCCAGGTTCCGTTGAAAATCTTGAAAGGTTGTCAGCTCTTCAAAGTCACCAAAATTTTCCTGTTCCACTAAGCCCAGCCACTGCTTTCAAAGTTGGTCCATCAAGCTCTATGAGCTTTCCTTTCACCACTGATTGCATTATTCCCTCATTGCTTGAGGCAAAACACAAGAACAACCTAATGAGCTCCGGGTAATACGGACCTTCCTGTTGAGATTAGGGGAGCCTGAGATTGATGAGATCACCTCTGAAGATTAAAAATTAAAAAATGTGTTTTAGTTGAACAACCTCCTTAGCTTCTCAATACTAAAAACACACTACTCTTAGAAAAGAGTAAGGAGGATAGTGTCTCCTCCAAAAATATTGTGATAAAGGAAAGTCACTTTCCTATTAAAAATGAATGTAAAAAGACTTTTCTTCTTCACAAAGATTTTAGCTATTTTTCTACTACTTCCATAGACTTAGAGCTTAAGATCCACAACCAAAATATTTTTGAAAAGAAAGGATCTTAATCTCTAACACTAGGTCTAATACTATATGAATTATGACCATGTACACTAGAATGATCACTCGTCTTTGATCAAGAAAAGGTTTTCAAAAATAGAGTTCACAAGGTTTTCACAAAGAGTGAGTGATGAAAAAGTTTTCACAAAAAGTTTTAAGGTGTAAGATTGTTGTAAAAAGGCTTAAGTGCACAAAGTGAACTATCAAGGGAGGTGGACTACTAAGAATCACTTAAAAACCAAGCCTCTTCAAATAGAAATCACTAAGCCCTTTGACACGTAGCTTCCCAATGCCCCACAAAGAAAATCATGATCATTAGGGGCAATGAAATCCTAAGTGAGGAAAGCACTTCATCTTCTTCATCATCCTCAAGTGAAGAAGATGCAAGCCTTAGTTCTAGTGAGGAAGCACCATGTGGTGGTGACCTATTGGTTGTCCAAAGGTTACTTACCAACCAACCTAATGAAAAAGATCAATCACAGAGGGAGAACCTTTTTCATTCTAGATGCATAATTTTTAAGAAAACTTGTTTTCCCATTGTTGATAGTGGATCTTGTAATAACTTTGTAAGCCAAAGGTTGGTTGATAAGCTTAACCTAAATACTATAGCCCATCCTAAATCTTATAAACATCAATGGCTTAATGAGGATGTATTTATAAGAGTTAGAGGGTAGTGTCTCCTCCAAGGAAGTTGTTCCTAGAAGTCAATTTTCAATAAAATATTCTATTAAAAAATGTGTTTTAGTTGAACAACCTCCTTAGCTTCTCAATACTAAAAACACACTACTCTTAGAAAAGAGTAAGGAGGATAGTGTCTCCTCCAAAAATATTGTGATAAAGGAAAGTCACTTTCCTATTAAAAATGAATGTAAAAAGACTTTTCTTCTTCACAAAGATTTTAGCTATTTTTCTACTACTTCCATAGACTTAGAGCTTAAGATCCACAACCAAAATATTTTTGAAAAGAAAGGATCTTAAGTTCCTAGTCTAGTGAAGAAGAAGTGGACTTCACCTAGTTCTACTTCTTATGTTACTACTTTGCTGGTGCCTAAAGAAGACAACCATTGTCACTTTAAGACTTATTCTACTTTAGTCTTTTTACTAAAGCACCCAACCTTTGGTTTATATTATTAATTACATACATTTCATGGTGTCTTATTTTCTATTTTTGATATTAAGGGAAGTTCAAACTTCTTTGAACTTAACTTGACTACTTCCCTTCAAGACCAAATTAAATTATATGACTCTTCTAAAAATGAACATCACGACAAGAAGGGCAAAGGAGTGTCACTAAAGGCCTTGAAATCTGCCAAAGGCAAACAGGTGTGTGAAGAATCAGGCTCCGATGATTCCGAAACTGAGAACTTCAACTTGCTGGTAAAGAAGTTCAAAAAATTCTTGAAAAAAAGAAGAATTCCCCCTACAAGTTTAATAAAAAGACCAACAAGAAAGAGGAAGCAAGTACATCCTCCTATAATTTCTTTGAGTGTGGAAAACCGGGACATATAAAATCTTAGTGTCCAAACCTCTTGAAGAAGCAACAAGAGGAGAAGAAAATGAAGAAAAATTGCAAAGGGAAGAGAGCCTATATTGCTTGAGAAGATAATGACTCAAGCACAACAAGTGATGAATCTAAATTTGAAGAAAACAACTTGTGTTTGATGGCTGGAGCTGACCAAGACACAATTTTAAGTGACTCTGACCTTGAATCTAATCCGGACTATGATCAACTCCAAGAAGCTTTTATACAAATTCATAAAGAGGCTGTGAAATTAGGTGCCTTAAATTCAAAGCTTAAAAACAAGCTGAAATGGTTTGAAAATGCTTTAATTAAAGCTGAACAAGAGTAGTTTCCTTATTATTATATTCACTTTGTTTTCATGTAGGCTCCTAGGTTACTACATAGGGTACTTTAGGCAAGATACCTTAGTATGTAGGAGTACTTCATTAATTTTATATAGTTGTAGTACTTTCACATTTTTAGGATTTACTTTTACACTTAGACTACACTATAGTGAGGATCCTATTCTTATTCCAAGATACCTTTGGTGGGCCTAGGCTAAATTTTACATATTAAACTTGTTTTCCTCCATTTTTTCCAAGGAATTGATTTAGCTAGGTATCACTGATGGAAGAGCATTGTAGACACCCAATTTCATCCAGGGGGCATACAAACAAAGAAATGGACGTCTATTATCAAGGAAAGGAACTCCCAAAGCAGGAAAACAACAAGACAGGACATTAGAGGGTCGAAAGCCCAAAACAACTAGTTTTAGTGGCCTGGAACGGGCTGTTCCAAAATCAAAACGGGCCATTCCCGAATCTAGAATGGGTCGTTCCGAGCCACCTAAAAGGCTTAAAGAATCTTAGTTGGAATGGGCCGTTCCAAACCAGAACGGGCCGTTCCAAACAAATCAAAAGGCCTAAAAACTTGGTCTAGAACGGACAGTTCCTAAACCAAAACGGGTCGTTCTAAAACTGTTAAAAAGGCCTAAAAACTTAGTTTGGAACGGGTCGTTCTAAGTAAGGGAACATAGTGTTAATCTCATCTCTGGAATGGGTCGTTCTTAGTTTAGAACGGGTCGTTCCCAGGTGCGCGATTAACTCACAACGTTCGGATCCAGAATGGGCCGTTCCAATTTTGGAACGGGTCGTTCTAGAAACCCTTTTGACGCCTATAAATAGATAGCTTGGGCACAGTTATCGGGGCCTCAAAAATTTCGTCCAAGACTCCTTAGAGCTTGAAATTTCTCTCTCTCCCTCCTATTGTATTTCTTAAGATTTGTGAGGTATTTGTGTAGTGTGAAAGGTTGCCACAAAACACCTAGAATTTCCATATCGGAAGATTTAACAAAGCTTGCTACAAGATATTTCAATTAATCTTCTTCTCTCTCTTTTATTTCTTATTTTTTATAAGTATTTTTATAATAAAAACAATCATGTAGATATTTTAGAGTCAATTGTTTAATTTAAATTTAAAGCATGTAAATAATCATCAATAAAAGGGAATTTAATATTTATATTATTATTGTTTATAATGTTAACTTCATCTTAGGGTACCAATTGAGGGTGTTGTAGGGGTGCTTAATACCTTCCCTACATGTAATCGACTTCCGAATCCAATTCTGGTTATCAAGGCCATTATTGGATATTTTAAAAACCTTTTCTTTTTCTAATGTTTTGAGTAAACCTTTGGTGGGCCTAGGCTAAATTTTACATATTAAACTTGTTTTCCTCCATTTTTTCCAAGGAATTGATTTAGCTAGGTATCACTGATGGAAGAGCATTGTAGACACCCAATTTCATCCAGGGGGCATACAAACAAAGAAATGGACGTCTATTATCAAGGAAAGGAACTCCCAAAGCAGGACACTCTATGAAATCTACAATGGAAGGAAGCCCAATATTTCATACTTTAGAGTGTTTGGGTGTAAGTGCTTTGTGCTGAACAATGGGAAAGAGCAACTCGGAAAATTTGATGCAAAGGCTGATGAGGCAATCTTTTTAGGATATTCTACAAATAACAAAGTCTATAGAATCTATAACATGAGAACTCTAGTTATTGAAGAATCAGTCCATGTTGTATTTGATGAGACAAACAAACAAGAGACAAAGCAAACTGAAATAGAGGACTTGACTGATTTGCTTGATCAACCTCTATTGGAGAGTGAACCTAATGAAAAGCCTAAAGAAAGTGAATCACATGAAACCACTAAGGATACAAGTGAACAATTGCCTAAGGAATGGAAAAATTCTAGGGACTTATTAATGGATAATATAATTAGAAATATTGGTAAGGGAGTTTCAACTAAAAGTGCCATCAAGAATATTTGTAATACTATGGCTTTTGTGTCACAAGTTGAACCTAAGAGTATTGATGAAGCACTAAAAGATGAACGTTGATTAATGGCCATACAAGAGGAACTAAATCAGTTTGAAAGAAATGAAGTATGAGATTTAGTGTCATTACCAACTGATTATCCAATTATAGGAACCAAGTGGGTTTTTAGAAATAAGCTTGATGAATCAGGAATTATTATCATAAATAAGGCAAGACTAATGGCTAAGGGGTATAATCAAGAAGAGGGAATTGATTATGATGAAACCTTTGCCCCTGTAGCAAGGATAGAAACCATTAGATTACTTCTTGCTTATTCCTCTATAATGAATTTCAAGCTTTATCAAATGGATGTGAAAAGTGTTTTTCTCAATAGGTTGATACAAGAGGAAGTGTATGTGGAGCAACCACCAGGTTTTGTGGATTTTAAAAATCCTAATCATGTGTACAAACCTAAAAATGCACTCTATGGCTTGAAGCAAGCTCCAAGATCATGGTATGACAGGTTGAGCAAATTTTTGATTGAGAATGACTATGTAAGAGGGAAAGTAGATAATACATTGTTTGTGAAAAAGTTTAAAAATGATACAATGTATGTTCAAATCTATGTGGATGATATTGTATTTGGATCTACCAATGTCTCTCTATGCAAAGAATTTGCTAAGACCATGCAAGGAGAATTTGAAATGTCAATGATGGGGGAGCTTACATTCTTTTTGGGGTTGCAAATCAAACAAATGAGTAATGGAATTTTCATAAGTCAAAGCAAGTATTGCAATGAACTATTGAAAAAGTTTGGTATGGAAGGGTGTAAGGAGGCTGCCACACCAATATCAAACACTTGCAATCTTGACTTGGATGAGAAAGGCATAGCTGTTGATAAC